CGATGTGTGTTCCTGACTGAAATACGGGAATGTTACCCTCAGTACAACAAGAAACAAGCCCGTTATTGTAACTAATGCACGCAGTGAACATTACCTGCTGACTTACGGTGAGCACCTGTGATTCTGGGACATCAAGGTCAATACGGTCACTGCTGTATTCAGTTATATGTCATAGATTATTAATATTTGTTGTTGAAAATATAAGAATGAGAGATGAGCTGAGAATTAAACAAATGCCAGAGCAGTGTTAGAGATGTTTGAACTACAATGTAGTTAAGTGTAATACTGAGCACGGCGAAAGCATTGGCAGAAAAACAAGAGATTACTTCTTTTAGCTACAGTATTTTCTTCTGTGTACAAGCAAATCGGACAATACTAGAGATATCTGACTTGCTACAATCAGCTCTTCCCACCATTTAACTGGTGGGTGTTAATAATCTCCCACTTGGGTGGTAAGTGGGGGGTGTGTCAGTGCATACAACTGACTGTGTGCTCTTCCCAAACATCATAGTCACCTGACAGCTGAGTGAGTGAAACAAATAAGACTGAGCGGTGAGAAGCAGCCACACCTGTTTCCCATAACCCCAGCACTCCCCTCCTGGGGGGATTCGCCTGCTGACTGTGCACATCCTGCGTGTATACCTCTTTAATATGGGCTGTGAAGCCACAGTGTATCCAAGTGACCCTACCCTCAGTCACACACTGCGATCTGTTCTTCCAGGGAAAAACCTTGACTCCTGAAAACAGCAGGCAAAAAAACGGTTTAAAAGGTTTCCCTCTGTTCATTCACAGCAGGTAATTAACCATGGAAATACCTGGAAGACGTTTTTACAGCGCAGTTTCCTATGAGTCAGTGATTGAAATGGTCAATTCCTGTCTACCCAAGATTTATTCAGTAGACAAAACATGCTGGCTAACACAGTGAAACACAGCATCCCTAATATTAGCATTTTCTGTCCCGCCTTTTCCTCCCCAATTTTGAATGGCTAATTACCCGTGCAGCGTGCTCCTAATGACGGGCAACTCCCAATGTTAGTCTGGGGAAGAAGCAGACTGAAAACAAAAATAATGCCACTTGAAGAAACTGTGACCAGCTCATGAAACGAGACGTTTGGGTTAAAGGTTGAGGCTGGCCTGATTCTATATTTGCAATGCTTTCCAACTTCCCTATGCTTTCTGTGGCACTCAGCCCCAAACCCATTCATTCCCACAGAGGATGTAAATCTTTAAAAGCCGGGCCACAAGTATTAAGTTAAAAAAAATAAATAAAAAAAAGATGTTTCCTAAAACAGTTGGGCACTGTAGTTTTTTAAAACAGCAGTAACTATGCAGTGCACTTGTTGTTGAGTATTACCTCGCATTTAGTGAACTGGCTGGTCTTTATGGCTCCAGCATTGTGTGTGTGTGTGGGATCGACTCAAAATAACCTACAGTGGCCACAGCATTGGTCACGTAGGTACATGTCATCCAATGGTGTGCCTCAACGATGTGTTTTTTCATTTGTTTGTAGACAACAACGGAGGAATTGAACGTACCAGGCTTGGCCTACAAAGACAATACTTGTTAGAACAACTAATCCCTTGTTGGCTATATTATTTCATAGGATTTAAGAAATGTATATCATCCGGCAAATCCCTCTAGGTATAAGATTAAAAACTGTTACGGCTGGTTAGAGTAAAATCCACAGCCAGAGAGGTCTTTAAATCTGTTAACAGGACACTTGTCAAACTGTGAAGAGGCTGGAAAATATATTTCTATCTGCATCTGATCAGTGGACCACTTAACGCGGAAGAAAGAGGGAATACTTTTGTGGTTGAAGTGTTGAAGAGTGAGTAACCTTTATTGGAATAAATGGGAATTGGTGCTATCCTCAGAGGCCCTATTATAAAAGTATAATATAGAGTATATTTAGTTAATTCAGGTTAGAACAGGTTAGTGCAGGCAGTCCTAAATTACCTTGTGAAAGCAGTGGGCTGAGAGTAACTCAGAGATAAGCTAGAACTGGGGGTTACCGCTCTAAATTTACTAATGGACCAGGAGTTAGGGAGCAGCTTGCCATACAAAGCCTCTGACAGCCAGTCACATCTGTCGGGGAAGAGGAAGAGGAAGGGTGGAGTCAACAGGAGCTGGTGACCACAGCCGGCTCCCTGAACCCCACACACAGCCTCCACGTCCCACAATAAAGCAGCCAACTCATCTGCTGATGGCCTTCCTTCAAAAAGAAAACACTGCATGCATTTAATGTGATTAGGAGTTTTCAGTCTGCTGCTTCACAACTGAGATTTAAGAGGATCAGATGAATGCTACAGCTGCGACCCACAGATGTGCTTCCAAATGCTAAATCTTACTTTTAAAAAGCTTTCTTGCATATAATTCCAATACCAAATAACCGGTGTGGATAATTAAGACCAGGCGTCAGTGCAAGGTTGGCATCTGCTGAGTGCTGACTATTTAGTCAGTGGATCACGAGTCTGTCTCCTTTAGGCTTAAAGTTAACCGAAAGACTGGGTGGAAAAGTGGCGAACGTATCGAGTAAAATTCATTGTGACAAGTTTCTTAGCTTGATAATATGTTGTACTTTTCAGGACAAGTCAGGCAGGACGGCGTGTAACTATATCTCTACTTCTCTGACACAAATGTAATGCTCACGCTGACAAGTTAGGTTATCCGAGCCCCTCCCCCCAAACTAAGAACGGTTTGCCCCGATCTCACAAAGCTGTAGCTATCTGAATTAGATCTTCAATGACTTCTTGACTTTCTTGGCAACATCTAGCTGTCAATTAATAACCACTGAGGCACATCAGCCTCTAAAAGCACCAAATCTGCTCAGTCAGTGCACTGCTTTTTCAAATCTATTTCTGTTTTGAGTCTGTAATTTAGGTGGCTCCATTACTACATTATTTATTTAGATTATGAATCATGCGGCCCCAAGAGAAGAAACCTCAAAACTATGGTCTTCAATTACAGACCTCACAGCCTGTAGCCACGCCTCGAGTGAATCCCCTCCTCAAAAGCCCGTCTACACTACAGGGAATCTGAAAACGACACGGTGAAGGGAGCTGGCATCAGCGCGGTTTTTGTCACAAAGTCCCCCCTGCACACTTGTGCTCTGCTAACCACACAACAGCAGGCCTAGGACACATGGGGCTCCAACCATATGTTACTGAGAGTCAAAAACCTGCACTCATTTCTGTTCCAAACGTGACACCGAAACTATCGTTTCACCGGCTTTTGTCCTCTGTGCTAATCATCAGCGGATCCGGCTGTCGGGGCGACTCGTCGGATTGAAAAATCTGCATCCACACGGCACCGAAAAACAGCACATGTCTGGAGGCGAATCAGCTTTAAACAGCGCGTTGTTTATCAGTTCGCCGAGCTGATTTATGAACCAGTGTTTAGTGGGTACGGACAGAAAAAGTATGGTATGAAGAGGACTCTGTGTGTCTGTGTGTGTGTCTCTGAGCAGCATGACAGAGATGACTCCGGTGGCAGCTGTAGAGACGCTGAACACTAGAGCTTGACCGACGAATCTGCCGGGCGCCGTTATCTTATCACAGACGTATTAGTATGTAAAAATGTGTCCAGTGACGAAAACGAGACATTGCGGTGCAGAAATGCCAAAGATATGAGTTCTTTTAGAAACTGTGTCTCGGAAATAAATGATTTGTCCGCTAATGAACACTAAAGAAGTTTGTTTTTAACTGATGATTAGTTGCATTATGTGTAAAAAGAGGAGTATCTGCCCATTATTACATATCTTAAACTGACTAACATCTATATCATCATCAGACAGACAGGAGCTGTAAAAATGAGTCGATGCCAATGAACAGAAATTGACTTGGCAAACATTTTAATTATCAAAGAAACGCCGCAGAAATCTTTGGTTCCAGCTTCTTAAATGTGAATATTTGCTGGT